TAGGTTTAAATAATGATCAATTGATCATTGCTTGCTGACCGGACTTTTCCTCTAAAAAAAAGTACATCATAAATATAATAAATATAAATAATAAAGTTATTTCTAATGTATAAAAAAACAGGAAGATATCAGGTTATTGAATAAATACGTTAAAAATGGGAAGCAGATAAAGAAGTTATAAAAATCACTAACGCAGGGTTTGTCGCTCTGAATGCTGTCTGACTATTGTTACGTTTCTATAGCTACTTACCGATCTGATCTAAACCTTGGTCGATCAAAAGTTCAAAATCTTTGTTTAAACTGACACTAAATGCAATCGATCCAATCATAATCAAATATTTACCAAATGCACACAGCATTTAGTCAGAATAAATCATTTTAGCATTTGTGTAACTGTCTAATTTTCCAGCAGCGCTTTAGTAGTAGAAGAAGAAGCTGCCTGTTTTGTAAACAAACCCGTCTTGTTCGTTCATCCTCCACTTTAGCTACTGTTTGGGCCTGACCCGCACATTTCTTTTTCTTAAGTTCTTTATTCCTGTCTGTTGATTTAGCTTCTTTTTTTTTTCCATTACGTACCTTTGTCATGTCATACTTATGCTTTTGTTGGTTATTTTTATTTTAGTTAAAGGCTCAGCTGTGCTTTATGCTAATGCTTCTTTGCTATGGGGTAGAGGGCAGGATGACGTTTTTATTCACACATTACGGTTAGAACCACCTCCTCGACCAGGAGCCAGTGGATTAAGGTTACAGAGAAAATCATCATGCTGGAGTTGCACACACAAACAGTGGAGATTATTTTACTCCAAAGATCCCAACATGTGTGAAACATAACATATACACATAACACAAATCCGAATCTTCAGTCTGACATGTTTACATGAAATATTTTTGGTCTAATCAGGCCTTCAATCTGATTATTTGTGTCCATCGCTATCATAGCAAAAGAAGTGGCGGCTAACTGTGATATAGCTCTCTGTTTTCAGTCTAATGCAATTTGTGCTGTTAGCCGTACCTTTAAACAGGTGGTTCTGGTTTCTCTCAGAGGAATGTTAAACTAACTGCCACCATCGGCACCATTTTATGGTGTTAAAGAAAAACTTTGCACTGGAGGTTTTGTTGTATCCTCTCTGTTGAGGGCTATCCCTAATCCTAAGCTAAACCTAAGGGGAGTTGTTTTAATGCAACCTGAGGACTATTTTCTGGTGTACATTTCTGGCATCGATCATAAAAATGGCTGCTGCCTGACCCTGCAGAACAACAGCCTTGCTCCATGGCCCCCGTCCGTCTTACACCATCAGCGGCTGGTGGCTGTTGATTTCTGTTTCTTCTTGATGCCTCTCTATAAACTTTACAGGCCCCTCCCCACAATGATCATGGTAGATAAACAGCCATAGTTGGCGGGGACTAAACATCTATTATATGCTTTACACTGAAACACGGCCAAAACGTTAAGCTCGTACAAGAATATGCGCTGTGCGAGGCAGGGGGGAAAAAAAGTTAGCCGTTGCACTTTAAAGTAACCCAGGACTTAAAAAAAGCCGCTTTCCCACTGAAAACCTGTGTTTTTCAATAGAGGATTGACCAGCTAGCAATTGGCTTTTGGCTCTTTTCCCATTTGACCGAAAAGCCGATTCTGACCCCCTGCATGGCCACTGTCCACTAGGGATGGAACGGTTTATGAAAACCGTCCAAACCGTTCGGTTCGACTGTCTTGGTTCGGTTCGCTGCGTTCGGTTCATGCGCTGCTCCTTTTTCTCATAGGCTAAGCGTGTTCACTCCAGAGCAGAAGGTGGCGGTACTGCGACCAAAGCCAACCACCAGTAGTAAACAAGAAGAAGAAGAAGCGAAGCAGCTTAGCCGGGTGTAGCAG